AGGCCCCAGGCTGGGAGAGGACACGGGGGGCGGGAACGAGGGGCAGGAAGAGGACGGAGGAGGGCCGAAGAGTTCACACAACAAACAGCAATGAGGCGGCGAACTGAGAGCAGGACCGACAGCACAGTAGGCAGCACGAGGAACGAGGGTGGTGGTCATTTTCCACGGGCGCGCTGGACAAGCAGCGCGGCCCGCGCCGTGTCGCGCTGGCGATCCAGAGGACCAGCTGTTCATTGCTAGTGCAAGAAGCGGGCGAAGCCGACTTCACCCACAAAATTCTCCGCGTCATTCCTGCACCGTGCAGCGCGGGAGCTAAACGCCCGCAAGCGCGCCGCCTTGCCCTCGGGAACCGCGGGACGCCACGCCGCTGGCCCCCCAGCAACCCTCGAAAGCGGCGACTGCTTCGCAAGTTGCACCCCCTCCACACGCAGGAATAGCGAGATCAACTTTAGGTCGGCGCGGGGCGTCGGTCCATCGTACCTCTCCCCAAAAGGAACCCTCGAAAAGGGTAACAGCGTCGCAGATCGCTCCCCACCACCAAGAATGGCGAGGACTAATTCAGGTCCGCGTGGGGCGTCATTCCGCTGCACCCCCCAGCAGCCCTCGAAATCTGAGGCAGATTGCAGAATTCAGCCCCCCAACGATGGCGAGGTCAAATTTAGATCCGCATGGGGCGTCACTCCGCTGTAGCCCCCAGCAGCCCTCGAAGATGGCGGCAGATTTGCAGATCGCAACCCCCCAACGAATGGCGAGGTCTAGTTTGGATCCGCGTGGGACGTCAGTCCGCTGGACCCCCCAGCAGCCCTCAAACGTGACGACAGTTTCGCAGATCGCAGCCCCGGAGGGATGGCGAGATCTAGTTGGAGTCCGCGTGGGGCGCCACTCCGCGGGGCCCCCCAGCAGCCCTCGAACGTGGTGACGGTGCCGCAGATCCCCCCGAGCACTGCGAAGTCTGCTGCAGGTCTCCGTGGGGCGTTTTTTCTCCGCTGCAGACCCGAGCGGCCCTCGAAAGCGGCGCCACCTTCGCAGATCTCGCAGCCCCGCAGGATGGCGAGAACTCATCGGATCCGCGTGGGACGTCAGTCCGCTGGACCCAGCAGTAGCCCTCGAGTGGCACAGCTTCGCAGATCTCGCAGCCCCGCAGGATGGCGAGAACTCATCGGATCCGCGTGGGACGTCAGTCCGCTGGACCCAGCAGTAGCCCTCGAGAGTGGCGACAGTTTCGCAGCTCGCAGCCCCTCAAAGATGGCGAGAACTCATCAGATTCGCGTGGGACGTCAGTCCGCTGGACCCAGCAGTAGCCCTCGAGAGTGGCGACAGTTTCGCAGCTCGCAGCCCCTCAAAGATGGCGAGGTCCAATTCAGATCCGCGTGGGACGTCAGTCCGCTGGACCCCCAGAAGCCTTCGAAAGTGGCTACGGTTCCGCAGCTCGCAGCCCCCCATGGATGGCGAGGTTTAGTTTAGATCCGCGTGGGGCGTCACTCCGCTGGAACCCCCCAGCAGCCCTCGAACATGTAGGCAGATTTGCAGATCGCAACGCCCCAAGGATGGCGAGGTCAAATTGTAAGTCCGCGTGGGGCGTCACTCCGCTGGACTCCCCACACCCCTCGAGTGGCGACAGATTCGCGGATCGCCCCCCCCCCACCCACCCAGGGATGGCGAGGTCTAATGAAAAACAACGGGGGACGTCAGCCCGCTGGACCCCCCCAGCAGCCCTCGAACGTTGGGACATGTTCGCATTTCGCCCCCCCCCCCCCCCCCCCCCCCCCCCCAAATATGGCGAGGTCAAGTCTAGATCCGCCTGGGGCGTCACCTCGTCGCAACCCCCAGCAGCCCTCGACCGCGGCAGCGGATCTGCCGAGGGCAGCCCCCCCAACGAATGGCGAGGTCACGCAGGGACGGCGAGGCATGGGGGCAGGCCGGCAGAGGTTGGAGGCGGCAGAGAATCGGGGAGACCTAAGACTCGGGTACAGGGGACTCGGGTTGGCCTGACGGGGCCACCATAAAAATGACGAGACCCAATCTGAAATTTGACGCGAGCTCCCGCTGCAGACATCCCACGAGAACTGGCCCGTCGAAATCCAGGACGCGCTCGTCAAAAAAGTGTTGGCAAACCCGAGTTCCGGCTTACTCGAGTCTTACGCTTCCCCGAGAGAAGAGGAGGGAAGAGCTGAGCGGAGGCGGGAGGCGGGATGGAAGGAAGGAGTGGAGACCGCAATGCTCTATTCAAAACGAGACCGCAGAGCAAGAGGGTTGGGAGCTACATAAACATTAGCCCCCGTAGGTTCGCGCGGATTTCTTGGGTCGGAGCTGGACCCCCTCCTTGGCGCGCGGAGCACACCAAGGCAGCGCTGGAGGCGACGCCAGGGGCCCCCAGCGCCGATCCAGGAAATCCGCGCGGAATCCAAACAGTTTGTGGTATGCCATTTTGCTCCTCGGTGCAAGCAACATGACTACCAGTCGGTGCTGCTCCGAAACCACACACAGCCAAAGATCGAGCCTCAGGTGCTTCATTGCGTAGAGGCCAATGAGCGTACCTGCGCAGAGGAGCGACGGCAGAGACGTACGCCACGCCTTGACGAGCACACTGGATGCTGCAAACGAACACAATGCACGGCGCCGTAACGCATGCTATGGAGCGTTGCGTTGCACCGTCAGCGTACGTCGCGCAGAAAGCAAGGGGCGCGCTTGCGCAGAGATGCGACGGCAGAGCCACACCACGCGCTGATGAGCACACTCGATGCTCCATGCTGCACGCTGCACACGTTGCAGGGCACCGTGGCGCAGTACACTGTCCGCCACCTGGCCTCTGGGCACGGCTTGGGCGCGTCCTCGATGGTGGAAGAGGAGGAGGAGGAGGAGGAGGAGGAGGAGGAGGAGGAGGAGGAGGAGGAGGAGGAGGAGGAGGAGGAGGAGGAGGAGGAGGAGGGAGGAGGAGAGGGGAGGAGGAGGAGGAGGAGGAGGAGGAGGAGGAGGAGGAGGAGGAGATGGAGCAGGAGGGGAGAGGAGGAGGAGAAGAGAGGAGGAGAAGAGAGAGAGGAGGAGAGGAGGAGGAGGAGGATGAGGAGGAGGAGGAGGGAGGAGGAGGAGGAGGGAGGAGGAGGAGATGGAGGAGGAGGAGGAGGAGGAGGAGGAGAAGAGGGAGGAGAAGGAGGAGGAGGACGAGGACGAGGAGGAGGAGGAGGAGGAGGAGGAGGAGGAGGAGGAGGAGGAGTCCTCGAAGAGTCGCCACGGGCCACGGACACAGACGTTCTCAGACCCCTCAGGGGCCTCGCGCGTGCCCCCCTCGGGGCCTGCCGCGGCCCGTCGCGCGACGCGCGCGGGCCCGCCGAGAGGCTCCCGAGTCGGACCACGAGAGGCCCGGGGCGCCGAACGATCGGCCCAGGACGCTCCAAACGGTCCTCGGACGGTCCACGAGGCCTCCAGGACGCCCCAGGAGAGCCCCCAGGAGCCTTCCAAGATCCCAGGAGGCAAAACTCAGTGATTTGTTCTGAGGTTATTGAGGGAGTGGGGCGTGGTCGCCTTTTCGGCTCCCCGACGCTCACAAATGGCCCTGGAGGCCCCCGAAACTGCTCCAAGACGGCCCGCGAGGCTTCCCAAGAGGGCCCCAAAGCGGCCCAAGAGGGCCCAGACAGGCCAAGAGGCACCTAAGACGGCACAAGAGGGCTCCAAGGCCGTCCCAAAAGGGGCCCAAAAGAGGAACACGAACCGAAAATCCGAACCTTCCGCTCAGGAGACCGAGAAAGGCCCCCAAGATGTCCCCGAGAGGCCCCCGACAGACCCACAAGATGCTCCAAAACGGCCCCCAACAGGAGTCCAAACGGCCTCCAAGAGGCCCCCGTGAGGCCTCCCACGAGATCCCAACGAGCATCCAATAAGCTTCAGATCCACAACCCAGACACGGTGGCGGGATGGGCCGACAGCCATTGAATTTGCTTGGCGTAGGGACGGAAGGCGCGGGGTCTTTCTGTGAGGGCACGGGGTCGCTGGCTAGCGTCTTGGAGCCCTGCTGGTGAGAAGGCCTTGGTACGACATGCGAAAATCTAACAAACCACGTCTTGCGAAAATCAATGAATATTGCATGTACAAGCCTTCCTGGGGGTCAATGTAGCTCGGGCCGTCACGGGACCCTCGTGGGCCGTCTTGGCGTGCGTAGGCCGTCTTGGGGCTCTCTGGGGGCGCTCTTGGGGATCTCCTGTGGCCTCCTGTGGCCCTCTGTGGGCTCTCCTGGGAACTTTTCGAGACCCTCTGGAGCCCATCTTGGGCCGTCTTGGGGCTCTCTTGGGCCGTCCTGGGACCCTTTTGGGCAATCTTGGAGCGCTATTTGGGTCCTCTGAGGCCGTCCTGGGGCGATCTCGGGGCCTCTTGGGCCGTTTGGACGCTGTGAAGACCAAAGGAATTAGTATGCTAAAATGCACGTGTTCCGTAGGGAATGGGACGATGTTTGCCTCTCAGGGGTCCCCTTGGGGGGCCTCCTGCGGCGTTTTAGGGGGCCTCGTGGGCTGCCTTGAAGCCATCGTGGGCTCCCTTTGAGCGCTCGTGGGCCGTCTTCGGGCCCCCTTGGACCTCTCCGACTGAAGGGGCCCCAGGACACACAAATAAGTACACACACAAATAACATAGTTCCCCATATGTTTCCCATCTTTTATGGGTTTCTGTCTTCCCGCCCAATTCCCATACTTTCCCATATTTTCTGGGGGGTCGACGATTAATTGTGCCTGTGCGCGTTTTTTCCCCTCCTGACCGACACCGTCTTGGAGGCACCTCAGGAGAACAGCCGCGGAGGGCCCCCGAGGAACAGCAGGCCCCCCTTCCGAGCCCGAGCTGCTCCTCGTGCCAGCGCCTCGGCTCTATACCCTCCTCCTCCTCCTCCCTCCTCCTCCTCCTCCTCCTTCTCCTCCTCCTCCCTCCTCCTCCTCCTCCTCCTCCTCCTCCTCCTCTCCTCCTCCTCCTCCTCCTCCTCCTCCTCCTCCTCCTCCCTCCTCCTCCTCCTCCTCCTCCTCCTCCTCCCCCTCCCCCTCCCCCTGGGCCCAGGATCGGCGGGCGAAGAAGCACAGGCACGAGCACACAATCGATCGGAGCTCCGCGCGGAATGCTCGCGGATGTGTAGCCAGGCTCGAGCCCTGAAGATCTGCAAGCCAGGAGCGGTGACAGTCTTATGGGCGTGCCCTCAGAAACTGCGAGAACCCTTACGAGCGGCATCGAGGTACGATGATGCCATTCTAGGGGGGAAACAAACCTACCTCGCTTGTGACCACCCTCGCTTCCAAGAGATACCAAGCGATGCCAAACTACGGCCTGTACTGGTCAGGCTGCTTGACGAGGAGGCGCGTGGTATGACTTGGTTTTGCCTGGAAGCGAAAGCGGGGGAGATAATTCACGCTCTGAATCATGGATGTGCCCCCCTCAGAAACTGCGAGACTCCTTACGAGCGGCCCCGAGGTAGGATGATGCCATTCATAGGGATGGGGACTCGCTTCAAACTGGTAAACCTACTCTGGACCCCCTTCCCTGACGCGTGGAGTGCGCCAGTGGGGGCGCCGCAAGCGCCGCGCACGGGGCCCCAGCGCCGATCCAAGAACTCCGCGCGGAGCTCAGAGCATGTAGCAAGGCTTGTGCCGCCTCTCGCCGTTCCTCGACCGATGGGCACTGCCGGTGGCCGCGGACATGTGCACATCTCATCGCCCGACAGGAGAGGGAGGATGCCACGGAAGGTTCGGGAGGGAGGGGCTCAGGGGGGCAACATCTCGCTGGAATCGGGCGATGCATCGCCGATTGATCGGCGATCGGCCTCAGACAGCGAATCCGCATGGACTGTCGGGCCCCTATCTGCGATCGATGGGCGATTGATCCCCCCGGATGGAAGGAGAGCGACTAAGAGAAGAATGCGGGGACGACGATTGCCAAAACAATTTCCGAATCTCCGGCTTCCGCCTCGCTTCGGCTAATTACGTCGTCCGGCCCCTCGGCCGTTCTGGCCCGGCGCCCGAGAACTCATGCGGAGTGGGGGGGAGACGATTGCAGAAAATACGCTCCTGGCCTGGGGCCGCGTTTTCCAATCGTCATCTGGGGCGCCGCCGCGTCAACACGAGGAGGAGGAGGAGGAGGAGGAGGAGGAGGAGGAGGAGGAGGAGGATGGGGGGGGAGGGGGAGGGGGGGGAGGGGGAGGGGAGGGGGATGGGAGGAGGAGGAGGAGGAGGAGGAGGAGGAGGAGGAGGAGGAGGAGGAGGAGGGAGAGGAGGAGGAGGAGGAGTAAACCGACGCCGCCCCTGGTCGGCATCCGTCCCGAGGCCGCTCCCGGCGATCCGGGCAGCCCCGAGCGTGCTCGACGAGGCGCAGCTCGTGGACAACACGACGAGGCTGGAAAATCCCCGCGGGGCGACGACATCCGCGCTTTATATGCGATCGCAGCGGCTTCCATTGAGCAGGCACCGGCCGTCCCAGCATGCCTCTAAGCCTACCACGACATGTTCGAAGAGCACCGAGACCTGTTACATAAAAAACAAAGCAAACAACATCAATTCAAAACGCATAAACCCAATATGTTAAACCAAAACAATCAACGCCACATCACGCAAAACACAAACGATTCTTAAATCATTCTTTAGTGGGCCTATAAGCGAGTCCGGAAGCCGCGCCACTGCTTGACTGCAGCCCACCTGACGTTGCCTTTGCCTGGGGCATAGAAGCCTCCCAGATAGGGTCTGAGTAGATGGGGTCGGAGGATCGCGTCGCATCGCCAACGCATCGCCGATGCATCGGCGATGCTTTGGCGATGCACCAGCGACGCCGGCGATGCATCGGCGACGTCCGCGTGGAGAACATCGGGCTTCGCATCGAGCTGAACCGCCGATGCATCACTATTGGAAGCCAGCGTCTTCGAGGAAGCCCTGGAATATGGAGGTGGCCCAGGGGTATGTTCTTTGAGCAGGGACCGACCGTCCTGGCACTCCTATAGTCCTACCACGACATGCTCTGAGAACCCAAAAATGTTCTAATAATAAAAACAATGTTCTTAGAACTTAAGCCTTATGTGTTAAAACGAGACAGCCCCAACCAAAAATGTCTAAGAACATTTCGTGGAAACCACAACAGGTTCTTAGAACTTTGTTTGGTAGGGCTATAGGCGAACCCGGACGCTTCGCCACTGCTTGAGTTCCGCGATGGTTGTATTCGGTGGACTTCTCGGACCTCCCGCCGCCGACCCTGGGCCTATTGCGCTGGGCCCTGCACGCGGCTCGGGATTCTGCCCCCGCGGCGCGAACCTCCGACCCCATTCCTCATCCTCCTCCTCCTCCTCCTCCTCCTCCTCCTCCTCCTCCTATCCTCCTATCCTCCTATCTGCTCGAACCCCACCTGGGGAGCCTCGAGGACAGCAGCCCCCGCGCGAGATCCCGCGGCCGGCCAAGCGGGCGGGGGCGGGGGCGGCGGGGGCCTGTGCGGCCCAGCCCTGCCTTGCAGTGGATGGCGCACGGGCCCCGCTCGGCCTCGCGCGGGGGGGGGGGGCTGGAGGGCGCGAGCCAGATCCAATCCTCTTCCTCCGAATTCCTCCTTCTCCCCTCCCCCAACCCCCTCCCCCCTCTCACTTCCACATCCTCTTCTTCTTCTTCTTCTTCTCTCTTCCTCCTCCTCCCCCCTCCTCCTCCTCCTCCTCCTCCTCCTCCTTCCTCCTCCTCCTCCTCCCTCCTCCCTCCTCCTCCACCTCCACCTCCTCTTCCTCCACCTCCTCTACCGTTTCTTCGGAATTAATCCTCCTCCTGGGGTTTCGGGATCTTTTGCTTTGCCCTTCGGAATGGCTTGTTCCTCCCATCGCCGTGAAAGTGGGGAGTTCCCCCCCCTCTCCGGGAGTCTTTCACTGTGTTGCAGCATGTGTTGCATTTGTCCAGTTTCGCCTCCGCCATCTCCCCCAGAGGGGGGTGAGACGGGGTGCAGGGGGGGGGGGGGCGCCGCCTTGGGTCTCTTTTTGGGGCCTCTTTGCGGTATTGGGGCGATCTTCGGGGCGTCTTCGGCCGTCCTAGAGCGTTGGAAGCTCGAGAACGAGAGAACGCGAAAAACATTATAACAAACGTGTGGAAATCAAGGATATGGCCCTCGTGGGGCTGACTCGGGACGCCTTTCGGAGCTCTTTTGCCTCTTCGAAGGCTCTTGGGCTGTGTATTGGCCGTGTCGGGCCCATCTGGGCCCACGTTGGGGCCATCAAGGCCGCCTTGGGGCGCCTGGGGGCCTCCCGCGTTTGGGCCTGTCCTGGGGCCCTCCTAGGCCGTCTAAGGCTCCTCCCGGGCAGTGTTCGGGCTCCCTGGGGCTGTCTTGGGGCTCTGTTGGGGGCCTCTTCGGCGGTCTTGGGGCGGTCTTGGGGGCGTCGTCGGCTGTCGTGGAGCGTCGGAAGGTCGAAAACAGTAGACAACGAAAACCATATATCAGAACAGTGAGAATCAAGGACGCCCTCGACTCGCTCGTGGACGTGTTTTGGCCCCGTCGTTGGTTGGGTTTACGTGTAGTCAGGGCCGCGGGTCGTTGATCGACTATGTCGTAGCTTCTGGCGATTTTGATAGCTACGCGCGCGTGACCAAGTACACGCCCTCGCCGTTCAATACGGATGCATGCTTGCAGGTCTCTGTTGGTCATAAGGCGGTGGAGCAAATGTTATGGCGACGGGTCCTGATTTGTCCTGGGAGGAGATTTTGGCTCGCATGGAGGATCCTGGGTGGGTGGAAACCCCTTTCTACTACGAAAACAATGTCTTACCCCGTGTCCGCGACCACCTGCCTGAGGCGTTTCAAGGCAGTATCTATGGTGGAGACGAGCTACGGAGATGATGTTTCCGTCGCGCGCTTGTGCCGTGCCGATGGGGCCCAGGGAGTGTAGTGTCCGAGGTGGTTTTCCCCACTTTCGACGTTCTAAGATTGGCAGGAGAAGTCGTTGTGGCCAGAGCTGCCAGCTTCCTGCGTTCAGTTTTTGGGCTCATGTTTCTCAGACCCTGTTGGGGCATCGCCTGTGAATGGCTCGTAAGTCTCGGGATGAAATGTTTTGGCCCGGTCGTGTGCTAGCTAATCTATGGGGCCAAGTTCTTTCCCAGTGGCTCCCTAGTTTCCGTCAGCCTGGTAAGTGGTGGATGGCTCGGTTAGCGGCTGTTCCCGATTCCGTGGCTGCTCTGAATGTGCTTTCTGATTCCGTCGCTCAGGCGGTCGGTCAGGCCTGGCGCGCTGCCCGCTAAGCAGGCCAGCGCGAATCAGTGGCTTCTCAAAGCTCTGCCTCGAGGTGCTAAGCGGGTGCATGCTCGGCCGAGGTGCGGTCGAGGATCCAATCGAGAGCATCTTGTCACACCTACTGAGATAAAGCAACTCCCAGAGGAGATGACGCAGTACAGCCAAGATTTTTTGGAGCCAGTTTTGGACCCCCCCCCCCCCCCTGATCAGAGGGAGGCGTTGTCGGGCGTTTTGGATGTTCTGAGACCGATGGCGTTAGCGGCGGCGAAGTCGTTGGACCCTTTGGCCCCTGGGGAGGTGTCCAGAGCGGCGCGGCTGTTCAAGGTTGATACTGCTGTTGGCATTGATTGCTGGGCCCCCCATCTGTTGGCGTCTTTGTCTGGTTCTGCTGCGGGGGTCTACGCTGATCTCCTCGATCAGTGCGAGAGCTCGATGATGTGGCCCGCCCGGACTATGATGGGCATCGTTGCCCTGCTTCCTGAGGCTGCGGACGCGGGGAGTTCTGTTTGCAAGCGCCCTTCCCTGCGCCCCCTGCATTGTCGGGCGCGAGGCCGCGACGTGGATGAGTGGCCTCGGGGGCGCGACAACAACTGGGGCGCTGCGACGCGAGGATCCCCGGCGTTGCAGGCGGCTCTCCTGCGGGAGATGGGCCATGGGATGGTCGATTATCTAGGGGAGCTGTCGGTTGGCCCCTCTATTGGGGTCTGAGCCAGGTTTTCGACGCGGTGGACCCCCTTCGCCTTGCCGGTTTCGCCATGAAGCTGGCCTGCCCAGTTCGCCGATTGCGCCTGGGGATTCTATGATGCACGAGGCGCCGCGAGGCCTGGAGGACAACGGCGCTTCGTGTCCGATATGTTAGCCCCATGGGGCGCGGGGGGGGCTTCCTGGGCGCGAGCAGTCCATGCCGCGGGCCCAGATTGATGTGTAGAATGCTTTGGGCGTTGCGCGCGCGCCCAGCATCGCCCAGTGCCCACCTCTGCTTGCGTGAGCGACACTAACAAGACCTGGCAAGGCGCTCGGTCAGATCTGGTCGCGGGTATAGTTCCCGCAGCAATGCGTCCCTGTCGTCGGCGTGAGCAAGCACGGACTACCATGTCAAATAAGAATACCTTGTGTTTGCTCAGATGAAACCTGCAAGGTCATCTGGCGTCCCTCTTCCGTGCTGCTAGCCTACCTAGCAAGGTGGCTGATGGAGTGCGCGAGTTGGGGTCATGACCACCGCGGGCAGGAGGCGTCGTTTTTCTAAGTTGCGCAATATGCGCGTCGTGGCCAGGCGAAAAGCCCCGCGGGTCAGTTTTCTCAGTGGGGGGAAGCCCGCAAATTTTACAAACCCGCGGCGTTGGCGATTGGGTCGTGGTGCCCTGAAGTGCTACGGCTCTCCCCTGCTCAAGTTCAGTATATGCGGGCCCAGGCGGCTACTTGTTCGGGGCGGTGGGGCCCAGGGGCCTGCGCGACCACCGCGCTGAGTCTGGTGAGCCAGGCTAAGGATGACCCCCCATTTTAGGCTTCGCTATGAGCATTTGAACTCGTTCGCCTCGATTTGGAATCGGTTGCCCCACACACTGACAAATTTGCGTGCACGCTGCATCGTTGGTAGACCGTGCGGGGTCCGATCGCGGCCACGCTGGCGGTGCTTGTTGATTTGAATTGGGATCATGTCTCGCCAATGTGCTGGCGCATTGGCACAGAAGTGCTCCGCGTGACGGATGGAGATTCCCCCTTTCAGCTCTGGTCCCGCCGATGTTCTACCTGCCAAGCTATGCCGTGGAAGGCTGCGGCGGGGCATTATATGGAGACGGGGGTGGAAGGAGGAGTCGATTTAACGATGGTGCACAGGTGTCTCAGGAGTCTGGAGAAGCAAGGTGAGGTGGAGTCTGCAGGTATGGTACGGAGCATGGTTACATGCGCTCTGTTGGACTGAAGCAAGGCTACAGGATGCTGGACATCTCTCGCATGCCGCTGGAATATTGCCTCGCTGCGGGGCCTCAGCTGAGACTCCGCCCCGTCGCGTTTGGGAGTGCGTCGCCAACCAGTCTTTGCTCGATGCGATCGTGGATCGCACTAGTTCGCTCGTTGATCGGGTTCGTGCCGAGTCTCAACGCTCTTGTGTGTGGGTTTCGTGGCCTCTCGCCTGTGGCGGATTCCTGTGGGCGTCTGCCGCCGCCTGTTACCCTCGCGTCTGGGAGTGGGGCCGCTCGGTGGGAGGAGTGAAGATCGATGGAGGCGTGTGGGGCGCAGATGGACCTGGGGGGGAATGCACTAAGGACTGGCGGCTCCGCCGCTGCGGTTGGGGCGTGTGCCCACCTAGGTTCTAGTGGCCTCTTCGACGCCCTCATCGCGGGCACGTTGCCCAGCGAGAAGCAGTCCTCCCCGAGGGTGGAGCTCTATGCGTTGATTATGTTGCCCAGCTGTGCGACTGGCCATTGCAGAATGCACTGTGACTTCACAGAATTGTCAAAGGAATTCGTCAACCGTTGCAGGCAAATTCTCGGTCCGATGTTGGATGTGCGGGCCCAAGTATCATGATGTTATGTTGTCCCGTGGGGGCTCTATCCAAGCGCTTAAGTCTGATCCCACGCAGGCCCACCGCCAAAACATGTTTTTGCGTTATGTGGAAGCTTATTGGAACCACGCTGCGGATGTTGTTTGCCGATGCCGCAGCTGGCCGTGCCAAGGTTCCCGAGAAGTTGGTGGATCAGACCCGTAGGGCCGATAAACTTGCGTTGGATGTTTTATCGCGCTCGTTGGCTGTCCAGCGGGAAATCCTCTTCACTGGGGAGAGGGACCGTGCTGAGCGCGTTCCTAAAAGGTATCGAGGCCAACAAACTAGCGCTGTGGAGCGTGTCTGTAGGTTGCGAGATTGCGGGCGCGAGCCCCAGTTGCGGAATGCTAGCATTAAGTGTCTGAAGTGCTTCATATATTTCCCATTGAGAGGAAAGCTGGCGGATTCTTGGCCAGACCCTTGCAAGCCGCACTGTTCGGCACAGCAGAAGATCCAGAGCCTGCACCCGAGAGCCGTTGCCGTTGCGAGTGGGATGGAAGACCCTGTCCCTGATGACCTCTCGGCCGCGCCTGTTGGGGGGGGGGGGGGGGGGGGGGGGGGGGCGGTTCTGGATAACCCTATGGCCGAGTTTCGCGACCCATCCCACCAGCTTGCAGTGCTGAGAGGAGTCTTGTTATGTGAGGCGTGTGGGGGATTTTGCACAGCCAACCCTCCTCGGTCCATCTCCAGCCTCCGTGGCAAGCCTACGTCGCCTGGCCGCGAGGTGTTGCCGCGGCTCTCCAGAGGGCTGCCCCCGAAATCGGGCACCTGCTTCCCTGATTTGTGATTTGCTTCCTGAGCGCTAAAATCATTCGACTATCCTTGTGTCGGCCGTGTCCCCCTACAGGGGGATTTTCGACAAAAAAAAAAAGTTTTTTGACAGGCGCCCTGAGCCCGAGCCAGCTCGGGTTGAGTTAAGAGAAAAAAACTCGGACTAGTTTACCCGCCTGATGCGGTCAGTCCGAGATGTCTGAAAGGGGATGCTGGTCTGGAGCGTGCTCACCCTCCCCCCGAAGCTGTCTGCAGGCCTGAGAAAGCCCGACAGGCTCGGCCCGATCGACAGCCTCAGACTCGCTCGCTTCGGCGGCAGGGTCAAACACTTCACAGAAAACTCCAGCCAGCCTGGGATGTCTCCCCCTCCGCAGCGCCCTCAGGACCGAGGACGCGTACTTTGACTTCCTGGGCCCCTCGGGCTCTCGGATGCAAGACTTACTGAGCTTCTTCAATCTCCCACCGCAGCTGTACCCGCAGCAGAGATGACAAAAATAAAGCATGCTTTGATTCGAACAGAGAAGGGCCGTGATGGCGTGGCCCTTATCCCGTATGGAAAGGGCCACGTCAGGGAGCTGGCCCGAGCACCCTGGAAGATCAGGCTTCACAGACTGTCTGCGGCTGCGGAGACAAACGCTGCAACGCCAGAACGTGGCACACCACAACCACTCATGATGATACTGCTCCGCAGGAGGGGGCGGCAACTCCAAAACACGGGCAGGGGCGATAAAATCAACTCCGTCAAGGTTGAGTCTAGGCCAAGACGGGAGGAGACGGGCTGCCAGCAGGCCGACGCTCTTGGCAACCTTGAGTTGCCAGTCAACAGAATCCAGTTCGGCCTGAGAAACTCTGGCATGCATGTCCGCTCCTCGCTTGGCCGCTCTGTCGGCCTCGTCATTACCAAGCTTGAAAAAACGCTGATCGGCCGTTAAATCTGGGGAATCCGCCACGTGGGCCTTCACCTTGTGAAGACTGGTCAATTTAGACTGAAGGGTATTAATCATTAGCCCAGAGTACGGCCGCTTGTAGGAGAGACGCTTGGGCCTCTCTAAAAGAAAAGCTTTGCAAACATTGAGACAATCGCTGAAACCTTCAGAGGGCCCAAGGAGGCACAGAGACCCGTAGGCCAGGGCCCCAAACTCCGCCGTTTGGGAGGTCTGGGGGAACCTGTCCCAGAGGGGGGCCCACATGACACACTGCAAATCCCTATTATTATCGTACACAGCTAAACCCCACCCTGCCCTGCGTAGTTCCTTAATTGCGTGCTTCCTACATGATCCGTCGAAGAAAACACTCCCAAATAATAATTGCTCGTCCGAATCATCATGCCGAGGAGCTTCCCAATGGACCATAGGGGGGCATTCTCTGGAGGGCATCGGAAGGTGCTCGCTGGGGTGGGTGAAGATCCCTTTCGTGAACAGCACGAACTGGTCGTTCGAGACGGTGGCTAAGTCCACCTCGGAACTCGCCTGCAACACTTCGGGATCACAAAGCTCCTTCCTGAGATCGTCGACCGCAGGACACACCCATAACCTGTGCCACATCGAGTCCGAAGGGCCGCCACACAGAGAACAACGGACCTCGGGGATTTGGTATCCGAGGGACAAGGCTTTCTCCTGGGTCCAACAGGCCCCACAGGCATTGGCACGGATGCATCCCTTCTCGAAATAAGAGTATTTCGAGCTGCGCAAGTCTCTGATCACAGCGTCGTAGCATGCACGGCCTTGAAGACCGAGCTACTGACCAGAAACACGACATAGCATCCTGACCACTCCTTCGTGCAGCAACTGCTTGATGAGCTGGGGGGAATTGATGGTCTGGGAATATTCGACACCAAGGTCATTCGAAAAATTAAAAGTACCCCAACAATACTCCAAAAAGGTCAAACAAGTACTCAAAAAATAGTCCCCAGACTATTTTTGGACTATGTTTTGACTATTTTGGGGGTATTTGTTGTTTTTCGTCGACAATCCCTCTGTAGGGGGACTGGCCCGACTGAATCCTATCCTCCCCCCCCTCCTCTGCCCCCGAGGCGTCCCCACCACTCGGGTCGGACAAAAGGGGGGGATAGCGAAGGGGGGGTTTGAGAATCAGCTCCCTTAGCTGATTTTCCCGGCGCCTCCCGGCGCCGGAGGCGGCTATGTATCGAGGGAGGGGCCCCTCGTTGGGGCCGAAACCAGCTGCATGCAGCAGATTTTGTAACCCCCCTTCCCCAATCCCCCCCTTTCGCCCGGCCCGATCTTCTGCCTCCCGAACCCCCGCGGCAGCCTCCGTGATGTGGAGAAACTTGTTGATGATCTCCCTGGGCGGGCACGTGCCTGCCCGAGGGGCCGGGCGCCGAGGAGGAGGAGGAGGAGGAGGAGGAGGAGGAGGAGGAGGAGGAGGAGGAGGGGGAGGAGGAGGAGGAGGAGGAGGAGGAGGAGGAGGAGGAGGAGGAGGAGGAGGAGGAGGAGGAGGTCCCGCCGGGCCAGGGGCGGCCGTCGGGCCGCCCTTGGCCGCCCGCGTGGCGCCCGAGAGGCAGCACTGGCCGGCATGGACGTCGCGAGACCGGGGCGGATGGAGGCACAGGCAGAGGAGGAGGAGGAGGAGGAGGAGGACCACGACGAGGAGGAGGAGGAGGACGAGGAGGAGAGGAGGGCGCTGAAGCTGACAGCGGAGGTGATGACGGTGATGCAGCTTCTGAGATTGGTGATGGTGATGATGATGATGATGATGATGATGATGATGATGATGATGATGATGATGTTGATGATGATGATGATGATGATGATGACGTTGAAGCTGATGGTGGAGCTGATGACGGTGATGAAACTTCTGAGATTGGTGATTAAGATGATGGTGATGATGGTGATGATGATGGTGATGATGATGGTGATGATGATGATGATGATGATGATGATGATGATGATGACGTTGAAGCTGATAGTGGAGCTGATGATGCTGATGATGCTTTTGAGATTGGTGATGGTGATGGTGATGGTGATGATGATGATTGAGCTGATGATGATGGTGATGGCGATGGTGATGGTGCCGATCCTCCTTCCTTGGCATCGCTCGGACGTGTGCACTCTTTCTCGGCGCGGACCATCGAGGAGCATCATGGATCATCTGGCGAACAAGCACGCGCGAAGCCGAACGGCGCATTAGGAATGGACGTCCGAGCGATGGCAAGCTTCGTTCCTGGTTTCGCGCTCCCTTCGCACCCCGATGCGCCCCGATGTCTCGCTGGCTCCTCCCCAGCTGCATCTGCGAATGTGGGCCTGCCCCTTTTCGTGCTGAGGCTACTCCTCTCCCTCCCTCCTCCTCCCCCCTCGTCCCTTACTCCTCCTCCCCCGTTCCTATCCTCCTGCTCCTCCTCCTGCTGCTGCTCATCCTCGTCCTGTTTACGTTAGACTGGCAACAGTAGCGAGCCCGTTGCACTTGCGAAGTGCAGTTTGGGAAACAAATAAGGAACTACTCGGGTCAAAGAGGTACCTGGCGGGCGCCGCGGAACATGAAATAAGAAGAAACCAAGCTAAGCGCAGCGTGAAGAGTAGGCGCCCGCCAGGTCTTCGAGGTAGGCACTAACCTTAGTCACCTAACACACCATGCACTTAAGCAGAATCCCCCGTTCGATCAAAATCAACGTCTTCTCGGTGGTAAGAAACGGGAAAAAAGGGGCCGCCCAACTCACCCATCATATGCACCTCCGCCCACACCTCCCCCAGATGTGACGCCCTACGTGGGCAAACTGCTCACGTGGGCACTAATAAGAAAATAATGGGAAAGTGATGTTGCACAGTTGCGCAAAAGAAAATCTCTAAAGTGCTGTTGCCTGGCTGTGTCCGAAGCTGCATGTGAGATACTTGGGAGCTTAACTGTGTCCGAAAGAATGCGTGCGTGAGTTGAATGGCTGGCAGATGTCTCCCTGGCTGGCCACGCTGTGGCATCTGCTGGTCCCTACTTAAGTGTGTTGCAGCGACGCTTCGTAGCACCTACAATCCCCAATCCCCGCATCATATGCGCCTCCACCCACACCTCCCCCAGGTGTGACGTCCTACGCGGACAGACGGATCACGCGGGACAGACTGCTCGCGTGGGCACCAATACAAAATTAATGAGAATTGCTTGTACACAGCTGCGCAACAGTAAATCTCTAAAGTGGTGGTGCCTGGCTGTCCGATGCTGCGTGCGACATACTTCGAACCTTAACTGACTCCGAAAGATGGGAGCGTGTGTGAGTGGCTGGCAAATCTATTGCTGGCTGGCCACGCTGTGGCATCTGCAGATGCCTTGCTTAAAAGTGTCGCGCTCACGCTTCGTATTGCCCACAATGGCCGATGGAAGGATCAACGATTGTGGGCCGTCAACAATGTGCCTATGGCCTGGTCTTTAGGGTCGGCTGGTCGTGTGGCGGGCCTGTAGTGTTACAGGCCGACCAGGAGCCCAAATTTGGGGTGCGCACTGCGTTGTCAGTCAGAATGGGGGGGCCGAGCGGTCATTCGTTGTCCCTGCGTGCGTGGCTGAATGACAGGTTCGTGGTGGGAGCTATGCTTGTTGCGCTGTTGGTGTTGTTGTTGTTGTTGTTGTTGTTGCTGTTGCTGTTGTTGTTGGTGTTGGTGCTGTTGTTGGTGGTTGTTGTTGAACATTATTACTTCTAAAGAATAATTATTGTTGGGGCCCCTGGTGCACGACCCCCCCGCCGCGCCTAGGCCGCAACCACGTTTCCATCATTTTCGTGAAGAAGTCTCAGGCAAAACAGGTTGGTCCGGATCCGGTTGTGTTGTTACGATCGGTTTTCCCTTGCAAAAAAAAAAAAAGCTAAAGTGGACATTTCCTGTTCTAACATATCCAAACTTCAAGAATCCCTTACACAAAATAAAGTAAAGTGGACATTCGCGCGCGCAGAACGAAATCCTTCCAAAACCTTAGTTTGCGTAGCGCTTTAAACATAAAAACATCAAAAAACCAATGGTTTTGCAAAAAAAAATTGTCAACATTTCATCCCGCGCGCTCTTGCGGATTCGTAGGAAACCCAACACTTTTTAAACATTTTTGTCAAACGGGTTTTTGCGAGCAACTTTTTCGAACTTCTGCAATAACGGTTGCGCACCTGCCAGGGCCATCATCCCTGTCAAATAATACCATGCGGGAAACATTCGTTTTTTCTTCGCGCGCGCACGCCGTCGTCGTCGGCCGCGGGGCCCTGAATAGTAGCCACGGTCGTCCGCATGCCACGAAGTGAAGTGTCCGAACGTCATAGGGCGGGAAGCTGGGTGTGGGTGGTGGCGAAGAGTCGTTTGGAAATTTGGTAGAGCTTGAACCGGCCCCCCCACAAAGTGGGGGTATTGCCCGCCTCCTATGAAAACCCTGGCACTGGTGAGAACGGAGTGTCCCCACGTGCTAGTAATTGTTGTTGTTGTTGTTGTTGTTGTTGTTATTGTTGTTGTTGTTGTTGTTGTTGTTGTTAACGTTGACGCTGTTGCAATTGTCGTTGTTGTGGTTGATGCTGTTATTTGTTATCGCCGTCCCACCCCGCGACCCACCCGCGACCCACCCCGCGACCCACCCGCGACCGACCCCGCGACCCATCCGCGAGCCACCCGCAACCCACCCGCGACCCACCCCGCGATCCACCCGCGACCCACCCCGCGACCCATCCTCAAAGGAGGAAAAACCACCAGGGCCCGACAATTGTTTTTTTTTTCTAAATGGACCTGGGCGTTTCCTAAACAACTTGCCCTGTTCGATTATTTCTTTGCGTGCGTTTATTGGGCGGCTTCGTTTGTCCTGTTCGATTATTTCTTTGCGTGCGTTTATTAAGCTGCTTCGTTTGTCGGGACGATTACTATGGGGTGGAATTTCTGCCCTCTACATCCGCGACCCACCTCGACACACCAACGACCCACCCGCGACACATTTGCAAACCACCCGCGGCCTACCCACATGGGCTTAACGAAAACATCGGCGCCTGCGGCGGGGTCGTTGTGTAATGCGTGGAACTGCGGCGCCTGCGGCGGGCTTCTCTGCAGTCTCTCAAACCGCCAACGTCCCCACCGCCCCCTCACTTTTATCCGCATGTTCGGGGCGCTGCGTATTCCTGCGTGGGCAGATTGCCCGCGCAAGAACTGTCACAGAAAACCTTGGAGTAGGTGTCTGAGAACGCCACTACCTCGCCCACCGCACCGCTATCCAGCCAACCACAGCGTCAAGTTCTTAAGGCCGTTTGGCTTTCTGGTCAAATATTCAAAATCGGTACTGCACGCTGGGGGGGGCAGGGAACGCGGCAGCTCCTGGGTTGCAACCCCGTGTTTTGTTGGCCCCGGGCCACCTCGGAACCAAGACCCGCGCGATTGTTTGTAGCATTGTACCCGGGTTTAGCACAAGCCCTCATAGTCAAATTTCCTCCTCCTCCTCCTCCTCATGCTCTTCTCCTCCTCCTCCTCCTCATCATCCTCTTCCTCCTCCTCCTCTTCTTCCTCCTCCTCCTCCTCCTCCTCCTCCTCCTCCCGCAGAGGCGTCCCGGGAGCGGGCCCCGAGTCAAAATACCCCCCCCTAGGGCGCATTTTCCTCAAGCGGGCACGCCCGAAATGCACGTCTTCCTCTTCCGGGAGCACGCCCCAAGTCAGAATATCACATTCCCGGGGCGCACTTTCTTCGAGCGGGCACGCAAATGATGCACTTCCTCCTCCTCCTCCTCTTCCTCCTCCTCCTCCTCCTCCTCCTCTTCCTCCGCCTCCTCCTCCTCCTGCTCCTCCTCCATTTCCTCCTCCGCCTCCTCCTCCTCCTCCTCCTCTTCCTCCTCCACCTCCTCCTCCTCCTCCTTATCCTCCGCTTTCTCCCCCCACTCCTAGCCATTTCGATCAGGGTCGGCGGCGCTGGCCGTCAGGCATCTCCAATATTTAAAAACGGTACTGCACGCGGGGGGGGCAGGGAACGCGGCAGCTCCTGGGTTGCAGCCCCGTGTTTTGTTGGCCCCGAACCACCTCGGAACCAGGACCCGCGCGATTGTTTGTAGCATTGTACCCGGGTTTGGCACAAGCCCTCATAGTCAAATTGAGCGGCGCACACTGGTGGGCAGGCCTATAGAGTAGGCGTGCCGTGCAGCTGGCCTGTGGATGCAGGCTGGTCATATGTCTGCAAAAAGGGCGAGGAGCAAAGGTCGATCTAGCGCCGTGCGTTCAGTATCCTTGCATGGGCAAATTGCTCGCGCAGAACCGTGACAGACTCCTTTGGGAAAGTAGCGTATTGTCGCCGACGTGCTGCAGCCTGGCTGCACCTGGGGCTTCCCGCGCAGTCTGGCGTAGCGTTGCCATAATGCATCATCGACAGGAATGGT